TCATGTGCACAACAAAAGGGACTCGAATACATAGGATGACCCATCGTACAGTGTTATTGATCCTTAAGCACGAGTTCTAGATGAGTCAAGACTCTCGTATTTTCCTTCCGCACAGTAGGTCGGGTCCAGTTTCCAATTACCAACCTCGTCACCTTCACCGGGTAGTTGGTTATAAGCCCACTTTGTCTTTTCCTTGCCTGATTAAAGATAAGCCTTCTTGGTTTTTCTTTGAGTTCGGCTTGTTGCTCGCTCTTTGTTCAATCCTTTGGTGACCAAGTGCGTGGTGATGCATTTGATTGACTGCCCTCGACGTCGCATGGTGTTTAGGCGATTTTGTGTGTCACATGCACTTCTTATGGTGCTTTAAAACCATCAAGGTCCTTGTTCGAAGATAAGACCTTTATTGCATGGAAGCTTTAGTTGTATGATGCTTTCCACGTGTCTGTTGCCTCTTTTTGTCATATCGAGCCCTTTTCGACAATCCGCGCTAACGATTAAGAAAAGATGTTTGTTTATGTACTACTTTACTTCCTTGCATTTAATTGGCGTTCTTAGTCCTCTGTATAGGTGGTCTCCCACTTCTGTTACTTATTCTTTCGGGTTTGTTCCTGAATTTCCCGTTTGTAGAAGTTGGATTCGATAGAGGTTGGCAGCACTGGTGTAGGTTTTTGATAGGGGTTCGGGGTTTACTTAAAATTAGGGCCTTCTGGGTTTCGTAGTTGGTGGTCTGTCGCAGACTTATTTATCTTGGTGGTCTCTGTAGGATCTAATTCAGGCGCGAAACGAGCCGGATGGAGGAATTGTTTGTGGTATTCCCTGATGGTGGCCATCCCTTGTTTTAGGTGGAGGATTTCCTCGTACGTGGTTGCCCTTATAGGTGCGGGGTGGAATCGTCCGCGTAGTCGCACTCCTAGTTGAACCCCTGGTTGTTGCCCATAAGTGGGTTCTTCGTGGATTTACTAAAGATCGGCCTCGTGTCTGAAGTGGAACGAGACTATCTCTAAGCGGCGTTCCTCTGGGCATTCTACTAACCCGAGGATTTTGTTGAAGGTTCGGATCCTTTCTTCGAGGAGTGTGGGGTCCTTGACTGACTTCTTGTTTGGCGCCATGCTGCTGGTTTTCAGGGCCAATATTTAATGTAATGATGAGTCAGGGTGCAGCACCCATACATTGGTGTGGTAAGCGTAGCGGGAGTTCTTTTAAATTAGGGAGGGATAAAGTGAGGGGAGGTTATGTGTGGGTTTCACAATCTCACCCCGCGTCCTAAGATTCCTGAGTCCTATGTTCCTAAATAGCTAGAGTTCAAGCCTATTGTCCTAAAGTCCGGTCTTAAGAGTCTTATCATAGGGTCAAACTTAGGCTCTGATACCAACTGTAACACCCCGAAATTTTTCAACTTTTTAAGACTTATATAATAAAGGTAAATCCTTATAATATTCCAAAATATAACACAAGAGTACGGGGTGCTATGCCACACCTAGGCCAGAGGACTTAGGTGCACAGGCTACTAACAAAAATCCTCAATAATGTCAATACATAAGCATGGCACGCAGGCCGAAAGGGAAACTATCTATTCTACGCTTTAGATCTCTAGCGCGCTCCAGTGTCTACTCATCTATGCCTGAAAGCCAAATATATCTGTTCAGCGAGAGATGCTGGTAACCCACTCCAACGTGTTGAAATACATTACATATAGATATATATAGATATAAGAAAAACCATTTGAAGCATGAAGATATATCCTAGGAGACTCTAGCTTTAAAACCGGGAATAGACTCGACAGATAGGGATAAACACAGCCAACAGTTATAACCAAGCATATACAGATACTATCATATATCCTATGGTCACGCTTTCAGTCATATCATTCATAACATCAATCAATTCGTATCTCATCACACAAACACACTTTGATGGCGCCACAGGACCAATTGCATGCCCATACATGAGGGTCAGCGCATATAGCTCTGACATGGCCCCACAGCACCCTGCCTCATATCGCAACACGAAGGGGTTGATCACAACCGACCGATGAACCGCAGCTCATCATAATGTTTGATCGCAACCAAACAGTGGACTGCAGCCCAAGAGTAGTCATCTGACCCCAGCCAGGAATATGAACCGCAGCTCATGTAAAACGTTTGATCGCAACCAAATGGTGGTCCCCAGCCCGAGAGTGTAAATCTTACCGCAGCCAGCTTCTGAATCGCAACTCAGGAATAATCGATTTGATCGCAACCAAATTGGGGTATCATGCACACATAACACATAGCAAGCACATGCAACGTAACCCACATTAACACATTGGGAAGGGGGAGAAATCGTATAACGAAACTTATGCGTGGTCATCCACATACTAGGAATAATCCTAAGGGGCTCATACTTCTTTCACCTGGGCCAACGGGATACCAATTCAAGTAGCATGCGATATATAAGACTCATTTAACCTACGAATGGTACCCGAAACATCAAACTAGACATAGGCACGATAGATGGAGTCCGTTGGGATGCCACGGGGGTCAGGGGAACGTCAAACGGGGAAGCCGGAGTCCCGAGGTGGAATAGTTTCCAGCGGGTAGCCGGTGGGTGAAGGGTCACCCGCTGGCTGCCCGCCGGCGACAAGTCTCCGGGCAGCGAGTGCCCGGCGGGCAGTCGCCTGCCCGCTGCCGGCGGCGTTATTTCCGGCGGCGGGTAGGTGGCGGGTCCCCTACCCCCACCTACCCCCCACTGACTCTTTTTCACAATAAACGCCCCGGGATCCTTTATGGAACCCGAAACCATGCTTAGACACCTTTAAGCGCAATTGATGACACCACGTAGACAATTAACGGATCAGACGCAAGAATCATACGGCACGTATCCTATCGTGATTTCTAAACCAAAAACAACACCCGAGCATGCGAATTCCCACCCAATACAACAAGAATAGCACCATACGAATTTCACGATACATCCTAGGGCCCTAATCATATTTAAATCAACAAGAACATAACTCATCTCTTAATATCAATAAACATTAGGATCTATCAAGAACATCACACAATCATCAAGAATCACTTATCATCATCAAGATTATCAAGATCACACATAAAATCATATCACCAATTATCAAGATCACATCATCAATATCATAAACGATTCATCAAGACACAAGAATATAGAGGGATGCCTAAAAGGGGGATCATAGCTAAGAAAATAGGTTTTGTTGAGACATGGGTTACCTCTTAGCCTTAATTAATTTCCTTGGCTATGAAGGGTCTTTCTTTAAGCTTTCTTCTTTCTTGATTCCTCCTAAGGGGATTCTTGGAACTTCTTGTGTGGTGGGAGATTATTGTGGTGTGAGATCTAGGTGCCTCCTATGTCCCTATTTATATATATTCCTAAGAGTCCTAATTGGGGTCTAAATAATATGGGCTTGCTAATTCCATTGCTTATAGGACTAAGGACTTGTTTTAGGGATAAGGGTTCATGGTCCATAGTGGACCATATTAATTAATTAAAGAGAATCATAATCTTTATCTGAATGGTAAAAGGTCTAATTCCTTTATTCCTAATAGATAACTAGGTCTAGGATTCCTAATTAGAATCTGACTAGTAAAAGGTTTACTTTCTTTATTTCTAATAGACTTGAAACTCTAGTTTAGGCAAGGGTCCACGATTCATGGTGGACCTTACTAATTATTTAAAGGAAAACGTATCCAAATTAAATCATATTTAATTATTATTAACGGGATTAATTAAATAATTAATCCGAGATTGAAGGCTGTAACACGGGGTGTTACATCTTCTCATCTCCTTCAATCTATATGGCCCCATTGGAATGAGCTTTAGTGACCACAAAAGGACCTGACCATCTAGACTTCAATTTCCCTGGAAAAAGTTTAAAGCGTGAGTTAAATAATAAAAGTGTTTGCCCAACTTCAAACTCTCGTCTCAAGATCCTTTTATCATGCCACGCTTTGGTCCTTTCCTTGTAAATGTGTGCATTCTCATAGGATTCACGACGTATCTCATCCAACTCATTCAACTGTAGTAATCATTTCTCACCTGCAACTTTCAAATCAAAATTCAAAGTTTTAACTGCCCAATAAGAATGATGTTCTAATTAAACAGCAAGATGACATTATTTACCATAAACTAGCCTATAAGGCGACATCCCTAAGGGTGTCTTGTAGGTCGTTCTGTATGCCCATAATGCATCAAGCAATTTCAAATACCAATCATTCCTAGATGAAGTAACTGTTTTTTTCCAAAATTCTCTTAAGTTCACGGTTAGAAACCTCTACTTGATCACTTGACTGAGGATGGTATGTGGTCCCATGCTTGAGATGACAACCGTATTTAAACAAGAAAGCTTTAAATTGTGAGTTCTTAAAATGCACTCCATTGTCACATATAAAAGCTCTAGGAACACCATAATGTTAGAAAAGATATTTAACAAATTTAATTACACTACTAGCAGTGTTATTAGGCAATGCAATTGCCTCTACCCATTTGGAGACATAATCAACAACTACCAATATATAAGACTTACCATGAGAAGGTGGAAAAGGTCCCATAAAATCTAAACCCCAAACATCAAAAAGTTCTACCTCAAAGATTCCATGTTGAGGCATTTCATGTCACCTCCCAATTGTACTAGTACGTTGGCATCTATCGCATGCCATGACGTAGCTCTGTGCATCGTTGAACAAAGTTGGCCAATAAAAACCACTTTGTAAGACTTTGGCAGCAGTTTTGTTACCTCCATGGTGTCCACCATATGGAGAAGAGTGACAGTGATAGAGTATTTGGACCATCTCCTCTTCAGGTACATATCGCCTAACAATCCCATCAACACATCTCCTGAAAAGCAACGGTTCATCCCAAAAATAGTGCTTGATTTCTGAAAAAAACTTCTTTTTCTGGTAAGTATTAAAATCATGTGGAACAATGTTAGCAACCAGGAAGTTAACAAAATCAGCAAACCAAGGCACAACATTATCTTTAATAAACCATAGTCATTCATCAGGGAACTCATCATTTATGGACTCCTCAACATCAGATTTTTCCATATGTTCCAACCTTGCCAAGTGTTCAGCCACTAAGTTTTCAGTTCCTTTCTTATCTCTAATTTTCAAGTCAAATTCTTGCAATAACAAAACCCAACGGATCAATCTAGGTTTGGAATCCTTTTTAAGAAACAAATATTTAATGGCTGAATGATTTGTGTAGATAATTACCTTTGATCCAACAAGATAAAAGAAAAATTTGTTAAGAGCAAAAACAACGGCTAAAAATTCTTTTTCAGTAGTTGCATAATTATTTTCAGCATCATTTAATACTTTGCTTGCATAAGAAATCACATGCAACTTTTTATTTCTTCTTTGTCCCAAAACAGCACCTAATGCAAAATCACTAGCATCACACATAAGTTCAAAAGGTAAAGTCCAATTAGGTGCAACCATAATAGGGACTGAAATTAAAGCTTGTTTAAGGCTATTGAAAGCCTTTGAACATGCATCATCAAACACAAAAGGGACATCTTTAACCAACAAATTGCAAAGAGGTTTTACAATCTTAGCAAAATCTTTAATGAACCTCCTATAAAAACCAGCATGGCCTAGAAAACTTCTAATAGCTCTTACCGAAGAAGGGGGAAGCAACTTTTCAATAACCTCAACTTTAGAACAGTATACCTATATCCCTTTAGATGAAACTTTATGATCTAACACAATACCTTCAGGTACCATAAAATGACATTTTTCCCAGTTAAGCACAAGATTTGTCTCTTCACAACGCTGTAAAACACGGCTCAAGTTAGCTAGACAAGTATCAAAAGAGGAACCAACTACTGAAAAATTATCCATAAAAATCTCAATTATATCCTTAACCATATCAGAAAAGATTGTCATCATACATCATTGAAATGTAGCAAGTGCATTGCATAAAACAAATGGCATCCTTCTATATGCAAAAGTACCATATGGACAAATAAATGTAGTCTTTTCCTGGTCCTCGGGGGCAATGGGAATTTGAAAATAACCTGAATAGCCATCTAAAAAAGAATAGTATGCATACCCAGCTAACCATTCTAACATTTGGTCAACAAAAGGTAAATGAAAATGGTCTTTATGGGTAGCTGCATTTAGCTTCCTATAGTCCATACATACTCTCCAACTTGTGACAGTTCTAGTAGGAATCAACTCATCTTTATCATTTTTAAGAACAGTGATACCACCCTTTTTAGGAACAACATGTACAAGACTAACCCATGCACTATCAGAAATGGGATAGATAATACCTGCATCAAGAAGCTTGTGAATTTCAGCACGTACGACTTCTGTCATGCTAGGATTAAGGCGCCTTTGACTTTCCACCCTTGGGGTATGATTTTCTTCCATCAATATCCTGTGCATACAAATTGAGGGATTAATCCCCTTAACATCAGCAATAGACCACCCTAAGGCAATCTTAAATTGCCTCAATATTCTCATCAATTTTTCTACTTCTGCAGGAAGCAAATCAGCATAAACAATCATAGGATAAGTATCATTTACACCCAAGAAAACATATATCAAATGTGATGGTAGTGGTTTAATTTCAAATAGAGGTGGTGTTTCATTAGAAGGGAGTGGAAAAGGATTGCCACTACCTAAATCTTCATATTTCCTACTAAGATGTGTAGGCAAATAACCCTGACCTTCTAACCTCATCAAAGACTCAACAAAATCAGATTCCTTTTCTTCCATTTTTATACTAAGTGTAAGACATGCTTCCAACGGTTCACTAAATGAATGCTTAACAAATGTTTCTTTTGCAAGGTCATCAATAACATCAACAACATGACATGATTCATCAAAAGATGGGAATTTAACACCTTTAGAGATAGAGAATTCCTCTTTTTCTGTTCCTACTCTAAAAATAAATTTGCCTAAAGGCATATCTATTATTACTCCTCCTGTTAACAAATATGGTCTACCAAGTATAAGAGATGTATTTTTATCACTACCCATATCAATATTTATTATAATGATGAGTCAGTGCGCTGCACCCTTACCTTGGTGTGGTAAGCGTAGAGGGAGTTCTTTTAAGTTAGGGAGGGATAAAGTGAGGGGAGGTTATGTGTAGCTTTCACAATCCCATCGCGCGTCCTAAGATTTTTGAGTCCTATGTTCCTAAGTACCTAGAGTTCAGGCCTAATGTCCTAAGGTCTGGTCTTAAGAGTCTTATCCTAGGGTCAAACTTAGGCTCTGATACCAACTATAACACCCCCAAATTTTGAAACTTTCAAAACTTATATAATAAAGGTAATTCCTCATTAAATCCCAAAATCAAGCATAAGAGTATGGGGTGCTATGCTGCACCTGAGCTAGAGAACTCAGGTGCACAGGCTATCTAAAAAAAATCCTCAAATAATGTCAATAGATAATTATGGCACGCAGGCCAAAAGGGAACTAGCTACTCTACGCCTCGGATCTCTAGCGCACTCTGGGATCTACTCATCTGTGCCTAAAAGCCAAATATATCCGTTTAGCGAGAGATGCTAGTAACCCACTCCAACGCGTTGAAATACAATATAGGTATATATATATATATGTATATATATATATATGTATATATATATATATATATATATATATACATATATATATATATATATATATATATATATATATATAGGAAAACCATTTTGGAGCAGGAAGATAGATTTTTAAGAGACTCTAGCTTTAAAACCGAGAATAGACTCAGCAAGTAGGGACAAACACATCAAACAATAATAAACAGTTAAGTAGAGATAATCATCATAAGGAATACGCCTCTAAGGTCGCAGAACACTTTTCAATTCAAACACATCATCATTCAATCATCATTCATATCACATAATCGTTGATGGCGCCACGGAACCAATCGCATGCCCCGAACAAGAGGGTTAATGCTTATAGCATTAATACGGCCTCGCAGCACCCTACCTCAGTACCGCGGTATGAGGGGAGTTAATCGCAACCAACCCTTTGGAAACCGCTGACGAACTCAACGTCGGACCACGATCCGACACACCGTTGACGCACACAGTCGGTGGACCGCGATCCCCTTTACAAGGGGGGACTTACGACCCTACACACCGTTGATGCGTACAGTCGGTGGACCGTAGAAGATCAAGCCCGACACACCGCTGAGCTAAACTCAGTCGGTGGGCGAAGATCCTCGGAGACTACGGCCCTACACACCGCTGTCCCATCACTCGGTGGATCGTAGCCAGCCGTAGCACTACACACCGCCTGATTACTCAGGTCGGTGGACTACAGCCTTCCTCCCCTGGCGCGTTTAGGTCGGTGGGTCAAAGCACCGAGGCCCATATTTGGACCGCAGCCCAAGAAGTGAATCAATTCAACCTTTAGCCAACTTCTAAGCCTTAGCTCAGGAACAATCCATTTGGCCTTCAGCCACTTCCAAACCTTTAGTTCGGGAACAATCCATTCGTCCTTCTGCTGACTTCCGAACCTTAGTCCGGGAATCACCCAATTGGCCTATATCCAAAATGGGGGATCATGCAACACATAACACATAGGAGCACGTAGTAGCATATTGGGAGGGGAAAGACATATAAATAAACTTACGTGTGATCATTCACATACTAAGAATAGTCCTAAGGGTTCATACAACTTCCACCTAGGTCAGCGGGTCACCAATTCAACTAGCATGCAATCCCTAAGACTCATTTAACCTACGAATGGTACCTGAAATATCAAACTAGACTCAAGCACAACAAACGGGGTCCGTTGGGACACCATGGGGGAGCAGGGAACATCAAACGGGGAAGCCAAAGACCTGGGGTGGGGTACGGACCAGCGGGTAGCCGGTGGGTGGAGGGCCACCCGCTGGCTGCCTGCCGGAGAACACTGTTCCGGGCGGTGTTCTTCGGGTAGCGGTTAGGTGGCAGGTTCCCCTACCCCCACCTACCCCCCACTGACTCTTTTCTCATATAGTCGTCCCGGGAACCTTTGTGGAACCCGAAACCATGCTTAGACACTTTTAAACGCAAATAACGACACCACGTAGGCAATTAACGGATCAAAAGCAAGAATCACGTAGGACTTATCCTATTACGACTTCTAAATATAAACAACACCCGAACATGCAAATTCCCACCCAAATGTAAATCAAGAACATGACAATACAAATTCCCAATCCAGCCTAGGGCTCTTGTCCCACCCAAATCATTAAGATCATATCTTATCTTTAACATCAAGAAGTATCAAGATTCATCAAGAATCATCAAATCAAAATCAAGAACTTCTTTTCAACATCAATATCATCAAGATTATCGAGAATGCATATAAATCATCTTATCAATCATCAAGAACATAACACAATTATCATAGATGAATTCATCAAGACACAAGAATATAGAGGGAGGCCAAGGAAGGAGATTATAGCGAAGAAAATAGGTTTTGTTGAGACATGGGTTACCTCTTAGCCTTAATTAATCATCCCTTGGCTATTAAGGTTCTACCCTAAGATTTCCATCCGTTTTGATCTCCCTAGGCTTGGTAGTGGGGAGTCCCTTGGGAATTCTTGTATGGTGATATCTATTGTGGTGTGACTTCTAGGTGGCTCCTATGTCCTTTTATATATATTTAGGAGTCCTAATTAGGGTCTGAATGACATGGCTTTACTAATTCTATCCCTCATAGGACTAAGGACTTGTTTTAGGGATAAGGGTCCATGGTCCATGGTGGACCATACTAATTAATTAAAGAGAATCCTAACCATAATCTGAATAGTAAAGGTATACTTTCTTTATTCCTAATAGATGTGTAGGCCTAGGATTCCTAATTAGGATCTGATTAGTAAAATGTTGACTTTCTTTATTTCTAATAGACTTATGACTCTAGTTTAGGCAAGGGTCCACGATCCGTGGTGGACCACATTAATTAATTAAAGGGATTTCTAATCAAATTAAATCCTTTTTAATTATTATTAATGGAATTAATTAAATAATTAATTCGGGATTAAAGGCCGTAACACGTGGTGTTACAATCTTGCCTCTCTTTACTTAAGAGCACGGCTTTTGTGAATGCTTCTTTCTGTGTCATAAGTTGTACCTTGTTTTTGAGCTTGTTTCTTGTGGTTCTATTGTCTTATGGAGTATGATGGTCTTTGACCTTTGTTGTGAGCGATTGATGAGTCTATTGATGTTTCCTCTCTCTCAGCTTAAAACTGATATATACTGTATTCCCAGTTTCAAATGGTTTTGATTATATCTATGTTTGAGAGAAGAAGAGCTTAGAAGTCCTTTGGTGCAAAGAAGTGAAGCGGTGGTGGATACATCTAGACAGTTGGACAACCCGGAGAAGGAGATAGCCTGCTTGACGTGCAATCGGGAATCAAGCACAACAATTCCTGTTCGAGTAAGTGGCGTCGTCTCTTGTGCGGTGTCATCCCTCAGTTCTACGCTAACCTCTAGAGTTGAAGTCTATAGTCTCACGCAGCTGCAGTTCATTAAGAAGCAAAGTCGTGGATTGGAGTTTGAAGATTAAGTCTTGAAGACCCTCACTCGCGAGGGGTAGTCAAGAGCTGTCGCAGACGCTCTAAGAAGAAGTCAACTCACGCCAAGTGGTCGTCTTTGGATCAACGTGATAGAAGCCTCGTAGAGTTAAAGAGCTACGAGTCAACCTTGGACATCCTGAGGCACAATGAGTGGAAGTTTAAAGTCGAGGTGTTCAGCTTAGTTGTAGTTCTACCTGCCTTTGAAGAAATAAAGAAGGGGCAAGTCTGAAGCAATGAACTTGGAAGTAATTAAGATCAAGATGGCCCATATAGGAAAAGCTTGGACTTTTAAGTTACATGGAAGGGAAGAACATCATTGTGGTAAGTCGTCAGACCCTGTGAAGCGTGAAGAGGTTGGGTAGTAGTTGGTAAATGAAGGTAGCATTTTTCCTAGTTGGCACACCTGGAAAGTTATGGTTAACATGAAGACTCTTGGTAAGGAGGTTTGGCAACAAGAAGGAAAGAAAACGTAACCGAGTTGCAATCAAACGTTGGGGCTGTCAGAAGACAAAAACCGACAAGAGCGAATCAAAGGACGGATTTGATCACGAGTGTTCTTAAGTTGCAAGTAAGACTATGTGCCGATGATTTCTGGTAAGAGACCTATCCTTGGCTAAAGCAAGGAAGAAACGGGAAGTAGTTAATCTTGTATGGGAAAATTGAACAGTAATAGGATATTACTGTTAGGAATGAACTTAAGGACCAGTTCTACTGTTGGACCTTCATAAGTAAACCAGGCTCGTGCGGCAACAAAGTTTTCAGGGAAGACTTACCGTTAATCAAGACAAGAAAAGACAAAGTCGTTTTGTGGCCGACTACCTTATCAAGATTGCAAGGTTATCTACCATGAACGAGTTTTGTCCTACGGAGCATTTAGTAAGGACTTGAGTGAATCTTTGAGTAAGAAATCGTGGGTTGTCTCAAGATGTTGACTTTGATAAAGAATTGACTCACGCTTGGAAAGGCACCATCGTTGTGTCCTATGTGGACTTGGAACTTGTTATGTTGTGAATCTTGCCTCTCTTTATTTAAGAGCATGGCTTTTGTGCATCCTTCTTTGTGTGTCGTACGTTGTACCTTGTTGTTGAGCTTGTTGCTTGTGGTTCTATTGTCTTGTTGAGTATGATGATCTTTGACCTTTGTTGTGAGTAATTGATGAGTCTATTGATGTTTCCTCTCTCTCGGCTTAAAAATGATATATATTGTATTCCCAGTTTCAAAAGGTTTTGATTATATCTATATATATTATGATATTTAACACGTGTTGATGGGTTACCTGCATCATTCGCTGACCGGGTGTTATCCCTTATCTTTTACAGGTTGAGTAGCTTTGGAGAGCGCGCTAGTGGCCTGTAGATAGATTAGATATCCTTCTTTAATAGTTGTTGAGGCCTGTGAGCCTATGTAGTTGATTTGTTAGACTACTTTAATTGTAGTATCTGCCTGTGCACCTATGTTTGATATAGGTGTGACATAGCACCTCCGTGTTTAGACATTGCTTCCGTTGCTTAATGATTAATATTTAGCTTTATGTCTCTTGTTTAAGCTTTTAAATATTGGTAAAATCCGGGGTGTTACACCGTCGCCACTGTCCATCCAGCGGAACCTTACTTACTCACACTTCAACAACATCGTAAGGCAGGATCTTCAACACAACCAACCCAACAATTACCAACTTCCACACAATCCAACAGAGGAATGCTCATTAAGAGCTCAATCAAGGAATCAACAACACAGTACAACACATGTACAAGATCATACCAAGGGACTCATTCCAGAGGTTTCAATGAAAAGCATGAAACGATACTCAACAAAAACAATGGACTTCAATTCAACATCAACATGATTGGCAACACAAGTTGCCAATCATCATCAAGAAGGAACAAACCACACATACTAGCATAAACGACATCAACACTAGCATGCACATCAAACGGGTAAACAAAAATGGTTCCAACCAACCTTCAGGACTCATTATAATCCAACGAATCACAAAGTTAGACCCCAAACACGATTCAAGACACCAAGTCCTAACATGGTTACTTAAGACATTGCTCTAAACATACGTAACGTCAAGAAGACACTCAAAATCTCAACAAACCAATCAAAGGGATGCCAAAGCATCATACACGAATGGGCGAAACGGTGGGCTAAACAACTGCCCACCCTTTTTCACACATGTACCCTGCGGGTGGGGCCACAGGTAGGGCTCTACCCGTGGTTCCTCCCGCGGGGAACACCCCTGCCCAAAAATCAGCATCTCGCAAAAATTCATTTTTAAGGCCAAGTTCAAGTCCAAATGACCCCAAATCTTTCACACAACAAAGATATGACTTGAACCTATGAATAACTCATACAATAGCATTCAAGAACCCTAAATACAAGCTCAAAACATGCATTATCACAAGATCGTGCATCAATTACTCCAACACATCAAGAATATCACATAGAAGTCAATAATCATTATTATCAAGTGAAAATAGGTTTTGTGTAGCATGAGTTACCTCTTGTAAACCAAGAACACCTTCTTCAACCTCAATGAAAGACCAAAGCTCCTCTAGATCAACCTAGCACTTCACCCACTACTAGATCTTCTACAAACTCTCAAAACCCACAAGGTAAAAGAAAGATTTAGAGAAAAGATGGAGGAATCTTGTAAGGAAGGTAGGGAAGGATGGATCTTACCATTCCTAGACTTGTATTGTTGGAATGTTGGAATCTTGGTGGAAGACTATGCAAAGCTTGGAAGTTCACTTTTTGACTTGGAGAGAAAGCTAGGATTCTTTTAGAGAGAGGTTGGAGAGTTTGTAGAACTTTGGCTAGCATGGAATGAAGACAAGAGGTCTTGCTAGAGAAACATGAGCACCTCTCACTAGTGAAAAGACCAAGTTACCCTTACTAAGGTTTGGATGAATAAGGGATTGAGGTACAACACACAAGTCACAAGGTACACCAAGAAGACTAGTCAATTTCTAGTCCTTCGATTATGAAATTTCAGGATTTTATGAAGAAGTTACCAAGGAAGGCTAGGATTAATTCCTTAATTAATCTAAATTAGCATTTAGATTTACGGGGTCTCACAAATAATGTGGGTTTAAACAAAGAAAAAAAATCACAAAGAATGGGATTAAGTGCTTAACACTTATTTAACAATGAAAAAGGCTCAAAGGGGACACAAGGGATAAATACTCTTATGAGATGGGTAGGTTTAAAGGCCATTGGTTACAAAAAATGGCCTAAATCACTTCTAAACATTCAAAGATCAAACTACACTCGAGGAGTATTGGGACAAGTTCTAGTAGGCCAACCAATGCCGGAATTCCACATAATCTTTCACTAGCAATGCACTAACTACTAGATTAAGAATTTATGAACTCTACCAAAACAACCCATCATTTCTACTTCATTCTCCCTCATCCTTTTCACTTATAAACTCTCAAAACAACTTTAAAAATCTCATTTTCATTACTTTTTCATTTCTTTGGTTTTTTTTTTTTTGTTTTTTTTCATTCTCTTCTTCTTTTTTATTTCCTTTTTTTTTCTCTGGTAAAATCGAATAAATAGCTTTACATTTCCACACAACCCTCAATGGTACTCTTCCCATAATCATCAAATTTCTAGCATGCCTTCATTGCTCATAAATCATTTTAAGAATAAAATGAGAACGAAAGTTTGGGCTATCAAGATTTTCAACCCACAATTTAGGACATATCATTTTGTTCTTCTTTTTTTTTTTGTTTATTTTTTTTTTTTCATTTTCACCCCCATTGATCACAAACAATTCTTCACTCAAAGAAAACCAATTCTAGAATCACCTTTCAACTCCAATCTCACTCATACTTCATCACTTTTGTTCATCTTGCACAGATAAATGAAATAATGACATCCACTTACCCAAGGACGGGTTAAGAGGCTTCTTTTTATGAGCTAGGGTTCTTTGGAACTGACTAATGAAGAAAAAAGTCTTGTATTTATTATAAAGCTCAAAATGGTTCAGTAGGGGGAAATTAACATGTATAAGGATGTTGTCATTTTTAAGGCCATAAGGCTAAATCCTAATGCCTAAATCATTCTCGTGTCATCACATAACATGTAGCTCTTAAATGGTATGAAGCAAGTTCTAGAAGTAACACAATCAAAGAGGGCAAACAAACACTCATAATGAAAATAAGTTGCAGTGGACAACCTCTAGGCTCAAAAGCTCATGGTGTGACAGAATTCGACTACCAACTCTATGCTAGCATACATATAGCCAAACACATTCATTGATATTATGCACTCCCAAAAAACTAGAACTTATCTCCCAATCAACATAGTCATTAGATTGTATTTTTTTAAAAAACTTTATTTTGCTGAAAAAGTGCAAAAAAATGAAGGGAACGATGTAGAAAATTCCAGGAAAATGTAGAAAATTAGTGTAGAAAATGCAGAATTTTTTTTATATTTTGTCTATTTTGCTTAGAACTTGCAGAAAATACCTCCTAAACTTTCCCTTCCCCTCACTCAAACTCAACATTGTCCTCAATGTTAAATATAAACGTAGGTGCGAGAATATGAAATAAATAGGAAACTCCCCTGTTATTTGTCAATTCATTCGGTGTGGAAATTAATCGTGTCAAAATAAGCCACATTTTCCCCATCTTTGTAATGCTTGAGTCATTGCCCATTGACTATTAAAGGGCTCTTCTCATCTCCTTCAATCTCTATGGCCCCATTGGAATGAGGTTTAGTGACCACAAAAGGACCTGACCATCTAGACTTCAATTTCCCTGGAAAAAGTTTAAAGCGTGAGTTAAATAATAAAAGTGTTTGCCTGTAACACCCCGAAATTTTTAAACTTTTTAAAGACTTATATAATAAAGGTATTCTCTTATTAAATCCCAAACAGAGCATTGCTAAACATAAGAGTATGGGGTGCTATGCCACACCTGAGCTGGAGAACTCAGATGCACAAGCTAACTAACTAAATTCCTTAATAATGTCAATGGCACGCAGGCCGAAAGGAAAACTATCTACACTACGCCTCGAATCTCTAGCGCGCTCCAGTGTCTACTCATCAGTGCCTGAAAGCCAAATATATCTGTTCAGCGAGAGATGCTGGTAACCCACTCCAACGCGTTGAAATACAATGCATATAAGCATATATATATATAGATATACGAAAACCATTTTGAAGCATGAAGTTTTATCCTAAGAGACTCTAGCTTTTAAAATAGGGATAGACTCGACAGACAGAGATAAGCACAGCCAATAGTTATACCAAGCATATACAGTTTACAAACGTAGGGAACAGACTTGGCAAATAGAGATAAGCACATAACCAAGCATATACAATTTGCTAGCATAAATCGTAGTATCACGTTCTCAAAACACTCATAACAACAAATCATCCATATCACATCACATAAGCACACTTTGTTGGCGCCACAGGACCAATCGCATGCCCATACATGAGGGTCAGCGCATATAGCTCTGACACGGCCCTGCAGCACCCTGCCCCGTATCGCAACACGGAGGGGTCGATCGCAACCGACCGATGAACCGCAGCTCATCATAATGTTTGATCACAACCAAACAATGAACCGCAGCCCAAGAGTAGTCATCTGACAGCGGCCAGGAAATATGAACCGCAGCTCATGTAGAAACGTTTGATCGCAACCAAACGGTTGACCACAGCCCAAGAGTGTAAATCTGACCGCAGCCAGCTTCTGAACCGCAGCTCAGGAATAACCAATCCGATCGCAACCGAATTGGGGTATCACACACACATAACACATAGCAAGCACATGCAACCCACATTACACATTGGGACGGGGGAGAAAACGTATAACGAAACCTATGCGTGATCCTTCACATACTAAGAATAATCCTAAGGGGTTCATACTTCTTCCATCTAGGTCAACGGGATACCGATTCAAGTAGCATGCAATATATAAGACTCATACAACCTACGAACGGTACCCGAAATATCAAACTAGACACAGGCACGATAGACGAAGTCCGTTGGGGCACCACGGGGGTCGGGGGAACATCAAACGGGGAAGCCAAAAACCCAAGGTGGGGTATTTTCCAGCGGGTAACCGGTGGGTGAGGGGTCACCCGCCGGCTGCCCGCTGCCGGCGTCGTCCAAATTGGCCGCGGGTAGGTGGCGGGTCCCCTACCCCCCACTGACTCTTTCATCCCACAAACGCCCCGGGAACCTTTGTGGAACCCGAGACCATGCTTAGACACTTTCAAACGCAATGGATAACAACACGTAGACAATTTACGGATCAAAAGCAAGAAACATATGGCACATAACCTATCATGCTTTTCTAAACATAATTAATACCCAAACATGCGAATTCCCACCCAATACATCAAGAATAACACAATACGAGTTCCACGATACAACCTAGGGTTCTAATCACTTTTAAATCAACAAGAACACAATTCATCTTCTAATATCAAGATTCGGTAAGAATATCACATAAACATTAAGAACATCACACAATCATCAAGAACATCAAGAACACCATATAATCATCAAGAAACACTTATCATCAAGATTATCAAGATCACCCATGGAATCATAACACCAATTATGAAGATCAATATAACGAATCATCAACACACAAGAATATGGGGAAATCCTAAGGGGGGAATCATTGCTATGAAAATAGGTTTTGTTGAGACATGGGATACCTCTTAGCCTTAATTAATTCCTTGGCTATGAAGGGTCTTTCTTTAAGCTTTCTTCTTTCTTGATTTCTCCTAAGGGGATTCTTGGAACTTCTTGTGTAGTGGGAGATTATTGTGGTAAAAGGTTTACTTTCTTTATTCCTAATAGGCTTAAGACTCTAATTTAGGCCATGGTCCACGGTTCATGGTGGACCTTTATTGATTAATTAAAGGGAAACCTAACCGAATTAAATCATATTTAATTATTATTAACGGGATTAATTAAATAATTAATCCGGGATTGAAGGCCGTAACACGGGGTGTTACATTGCCCAACTTCAAACTCTCGTCTCAAGATCCTTTTATCATGCCACGCTTTGGTCCTTTCTTTGTAAATGTGTGCATTTTCATAGGATTCACGACGTATATCATCCAACTCATTCAACTGTAGTAATCGTTTCTCACCTGCAACTTTCAAATAAAAATTCAAAGTTTTAACTGCCCAATAAGAACGATGATCTAATTGAACAGCAAGATGACATTATTTACCATAAACTAGCCTATAAGGCGACATGCCTAAGGGTGTCTTGTAGGCATGGTTGAAATAGGCGCTAGGCGCTAGTTGGGCGGTAGAGTAGCGCCTAGCGCCTAGACAGCCTAGGCGGCTAATTTAAAAAAAGAAAAACAGTGCACGTGTGTAGGTGCATATATGTCATATTATACATACATATATATATATATATATATATAAATGAAAAAAATTAGCAAGGTCGAGTCGGTCAGGTTAACTCAGCTAACTCGACAGAAATTGACGAGTTAACTCGGCGTAATCGGCCGAGTTAGGCGCTAGGCGGCCGAATTAGGCGCTAGGCCGGCGCCTAGGCGGCCGGTTTCCTAGGCGGGAGCCTAGGAGGGAAATCGCCACGGCCTAGGGGCGCCTAGTGCCTAGGCGCCGATTACTCGGTGCCTAGGCGGGATTTTGGATTTTTAGGTCCTTCTGTATGCCCATAATGCATCAAGCAATTTCAAATACCAATCATTCCTAGATGAAGTAACTGTTTTTTCCAAAATTCTCTTAAGTTCACGGTTAGAAACCTCTACTTGATCACTTGACTGAGGATGGTATGTGGTCCCGTGCTTGAGATGACAACCGTATTTAAACAACAAAGCTTTAAATTGTGAGTTCTTAAAATGCACTCCACTGTCACATATAAAAGCTCTAGGAACACTTTAATGTGAGAAAAGATATTTAATGACTTTAATTACACTACTAGCAGTGTTATTAGGCAATGCAATTGCCTCTACCCATTTGGAGACATAATCAACAACTACCAATATATAAGACTTACCATGAGAAGGTGGAAAAGGTCCCATAAAATCTAAATCCCAAACATCAAAAAGTTCTACCTCAAAGATTCCATGTTGAGGCATTTCATGTCTCCTTCCAATTGTACTTGTACGTTGGCATCTATCGCATGCCATGACGTAGCCCTGTGCATCCTTGAACAAAGTTGGCCAATAAAAACCACTTTGTAAGACTTTAGCAGCAGTTTTGTTACCTCCATGGTGTCCACCATATGGAGAAGAGTGACAGTGATAGAGTATTTGGACCATCTCCTCTTCAGGTACATATCGCCTAACAATCCCATCAGCACATCTCCTGAAAAGCAACGGTTCATCCCAAAAATAGTGCTTGATTTCTGAAAAAAACTTCTTTTTCTGGTAAGTATTAAAATCATGTGGAATAATGTTACCAACCAGGAAGTTAACAAAATCAGCAAACCAAGGTACAACATTATCTTTAATAAACCATAGTCTTTCATCAGGGAACTCATCATTTATGGACTCCTCAACATCAGATTTTTCCATATGTTCCAACCCTGCCAAGTGTTCAGCCACTAAGTTTTCAGTTCCTTTCTTATCTCTAATTTTCAAGTCAAATTCTTGCAATAACAAAACCCAACGGATCAATCTAGGTTTGGAATCCTTTTTAAGAAACAAATATTTAATGGGTGAATGATTTGTGTAGACAATTACCTTTGATCCAACAAGATAAAAGAAAAATTTGTTAAGAGCAAAAACAACGGCAAAAAATTCTTTTTCAGTAGTTGCATAATTATTTTCAGCATCATTTAATACTTTGCTTGCATAAGAAATCACAGGCAACTTTTTATTTCTTCTTTGTCCCAAAACAGCACCTAATGCAAAATTACTAGCATCACACATAAGTTCAAAAGGTAAAGTCCAATTAGGTGCAACCATAATGGGGACTGAAATTAAAGCTTGTTTAAGGCTATTGAATGCCTTTGAACATGCATCATCAAACACAAAAGGGACATCTTTAACCAACAAATTGCAAAGAGGTTTTACAATCTTAGCAAAATCTTTAATGAACCTCCTATAAAAACCAGCATGGCCTAGAAAACTTCTAATAGCTCTTACCGAAGAAGGGGGGAGCAACTTTTCAATAACCTTAACTTTAGAAAAGTATACCTATATCCCTTTAGATGAAACTTTATGATCTAACACAATACCTTCAGGTACCATAAAATGGCATTTTTCCCAATTAAGCACAAGATTTGTCTCTTCACAACGCTGTAAAACACGACTCAAGTTAGCTAGACAAGTATCAAAAGAGGAACCAACTACTGAAAAATTATCCATAAAAATCTCAATTATATCCTTAACCATATCAGAAAAGATTGTCATCATACATCATTGAAATGTAGCAAGTGCATTGCATAAACCAAATGGCATCCTTCTATATGCAAAAGTACCATATGGACAAATAAATGTAGTATTTTCCTGGTCCTCGGGGGCAATGGGAATTTGAAAATAACCTGAATAGCCATCTAAAAAACAATAGTATGCATACCCAGCTAACCGTTCTAACATCTGGTCAACAAAAGGTAAATGAAAATGGTCTTTACGGGTAGCTGCATTTAGCTTCCTATAGTCTATACATACTCTCCAAGTTGTGACAGTTTAGTAGGAATCAACTCATCTTTATCATTTTTAAGAACAGTGATACCTCCCTTTTTAGGAACAACATGTACAAGACTAACCCATGCACTATCAGAAATGGGATAGATAATACCTGCATCAATAAGCTTGTGAATTTCAGCACGTACGACTTCTGTCATGTTAGGATTAAGGCGCCTTTGACTTTCCACCCTTGGGGTATGATTTTCTTCCATCAATATCCTGTGCATACAAATTGAGGGACTAATCCCCTTAACATCAGCAATAGACCACCCGAAGGCAATCTTAAATTGCCTCAATATTCTCATCAATTTTTCTACTTCTGCAGGAAGCAAATCAGCATAAACAATCATAGGAAAAGTATCATTTACACCCAAGAAAACATATATCAGATGTGATGGAAGTGGTTTAATTTCAAATAGAGGTGGTGTTTCATTAGAAGGGAGTGGAAAAGGGTTGCCACTACCTAAATCTTCATATTTCCTACTAAGATGTGTAGGCAAATAACCCTGACCTTCTAACCTCATCAAAGACTCAACAAAATTAGATTCCTTTTCTTCCATTTTTATACTAAGTGCAAGACATGCTTCCAACGGTTCACTAAATGAATGCTTAACAAATGTTTCTTTTGCAAGGTCATCAATAACATCAACAACAAGACATGATTCATCAAAAGATGGGAACTTAACACCTTTAGAGATAGAGAATTCCTCTTTTTCTGTTCCTACTCTAAAAATCAATTTGCCTAAAGGCATATCTATTATTACTCCTCCTGTTAACAAATATGGTCTACCAAGTATAAGAGATGTATTTGTATCACTACCCATATCAAGAATCATAAAATCAGCAGGAAAATAAAATTTACCAACTTTTAACAATATATCCTCTACTACTCCAAGCGGGTACTAGACTGATCTATCAGCAAGTTGAAGAGAGATTGTTGTTGGCTTCATTTCAGCTATTTCTAACTTATTGAAAAGCATTAAAGGCATAAGGTTAATACTGGCACCTAGATCTGTAACACCCCCAAATTTTGAAACTTTTAAAACTTATATAATAAAGGTAATTCCTCATTAAATCCCGACGGCGTTCCTCTGGGCATTCCACTAACCCGAGGATTTTGTTGAAGGTTTGGATCCATTCTTCGAGGAGTTGGGGATCCTTGACTGACTTCTTGTTGGCGCCATGCTGCTGGTTTTCAGGGCCAATATTTATTGTAATGATGAGTCAGTGCGCTGCACCCTTACCTTGGTGTGGTAAGCGTATGGGGAGTTCTTTTAAGTTAGGGAGGGATAAAGTGAGGTGGGGTTATGTGTAGGTTTCACAATCTCACCGCGCGTCCTAAGATTCCTGAGTTCTATGTTCCTAAGTACCTAGAGTTCAAGCCTAATGTCCTAAGGTCTAGTCTTAAGAGTCTTATCCTAGGGTCAAACTTACGCTCTGATACCAACTGTAACACCCCCAAATTTTGAAACTTTTAAAACTTATATAATAAAGGTAATTCCTCATTAAATCCCGAAATTCAGTATAAAAGTATGGGGTGTTATGCTACACCTGAGCTAGAGAACCCAGGTGCATAGGCTAACTAACTAAAATCCTCAATGATGTCAATACATAAGTATGGCACGCAGGCCGAAAGGGAAACTAGCTAATCTACGCTCTAGATCTCTAGCGCGCTCTAGTGTCCACTCATCTGTGCCTGAAAGCCAAATATATCTGTTCAGCGAGAGATGGTGGTAACCCACTCCAACGCGTTGAAATACAATATAGGTATATATATAGATATAGATATAGGAAAACCATTTTGAAGCAAGAAGATATATACTTAGGAGACTCTAGCTTTTAAAACCGGGAATAGACTCAACAAGTAGGGATAAGCACATCAAACAGTAATAAACAGTTAAGTAGAGATAACATCATAAGGAGTGCACATCAAAGGTCACATTTCACTTTTCAATTCAAACACCTCATCATTCAATCATCAATCATATCACATAATCGTTGATGGCGCCACGGGACCAATCGCATGCCCCGAACATGAGGGTTAATGCTTATAGCATTAACACGGCCCCGCAGCACCCTACCTCAGTACCGTGGTATGAGGGGAGTTTATCACAACCAACCCTTTGAGAACTGCTGACAAACTCAACGTCAGACCACGATCCGGCTCACCGCTGACGCACCCAGTCGGTGGACCGTGATCCCCTTTACAAGGGCGGACTTACGACCCTACACACCGTCGATGCGCATAGTCGGTGGACCATAGCGGATCAAGCCCGGCTTACCGCTGAGCTGTACTCAATCGGTGGGCGAAGATCCTCGGAGACTATGGCCCTACACACCGCTGTCCCATCATTCGGTGGATCACAGCCAGCCGTAGCCCTACACACCACCTGATTACTTAGGTCGGTGGACTACAGCCTTCCTCGGCTTATTGGCCCTACACACCGCCTGGTGCGTTCAGTTCGGTGGGTCATAGCACCGAGGCCCATAGTTGGACCGCAGCCCAAGAAGTGTATCAATTTCGCCTTAGCCACTTCTGAGCCTTAGCTCAGGAACAATCCATTGGCATTTACCCACTTCCGAACCTTTAGTCCGCGAACAATCCATTCGGTCTTCAACCGACTTCCGAACCTTAGCCCGGGATCAAATCATTCGGCCTTCAGCCGACTTCCGAAACTTAGTCCGGGAACCTCCCAATTGGCCTATAACCAAAATGGGGGATCATGCAACACATAACACATAGAAGCACGTAGTAGCACATTGGGAGGGGAAAGACATATAAATAAACTTACGTGTGATCATACACATACTAAGAATAGTCCTAAAGTTTCATACAACATCCACCTAGGTCAACGGGTTACCAATTCAACTAGCATGCAATTCCTAGGATTCATTTAACCTACGAACGGTAACCAAAATATCAAACTAGACTCGAGCACCACAAATGGGGTCCGTTGGGACACCATGGGGAGTGGGGAACATCTAACGGGGAAGCCACAGACCCGGGGTGGGGTACGGACCAGCGGGTAGCCGGTGGTGGGGGTCACCCGCCGGCTGCCCGCCGGAGAACACTATTCCGGGCAGCGGGTCGCCGGCGGGTAGGCGGCTGCCCGCTGCCGGGCGGTGTTCTTCGGGCAGCAGGTAGGTGGCGGGTTCCCCTACCCCCACCTACCCCCCACTGACTCTTTACTCACATATTCCTCCCGGGAACCTTCGTGGAACCCGAAACCATGCCCTTAGATACTTTAAATGCAAATAACGACACCACGTAAGCAATTAACGGATCAAAAGCAAGAATCATGTAGGACTTATCTTATTACGACATCTAAATATAAATAACACCCGAACATGCGAATTCCCACCCAAATATAAATCAAGAACATCACAATACAAATTCCCAATCCATCCTAGGGCTCTAATCCCACCCAAATCATCACGAACATATTTTATTTTTTAACATCAAGAAATATCAAGATTCGTCAAGAATCATCACATTAAAATCAAGAACTTCTTTTCAACATCAAGATAATCAAGATTATCAAGGAAGCATATAAATCATCTTATCGATCATCAAGAACATAACACAATTATCATAGAATAATTCATCAAGACACGAGAATATAGAGGGAGGCCAAGGAAGGAGATTATAGCGAAGAAAATAGGTTTTGTTGAGACATGGGTTGCCTCTTAGCCTTAATTAATTCCTTGGCTATGAAGGGTCTTTCTTTAAGCTTTCTTCCTTCTTGATTTCTCCAAAGGGAATTCTTGGAACTTCTTGTGTGGTGAGAGATTATTGTGGTGTAAGATCTAAGTGCCTCCTATATCCCTATTTATATATTTAAGAGTCCTAATTAGGGTCTGAATGGTATGGTTTTAGTTAATTCCGACCGCGGGTAGGTGGCGGGTGCCCTACCCCCATCTACCCCCCACTGACTCTTTTTCACAATAAACGCCCCGGGATCCTTTATGGAACCCGAAACCATGCTTAGACACCTTTAAACACAATTGATGACACCACGTAGACAATTAACAGATTAAAAGCAAGAATCATACGGCACGTATCCTATCGTGATTTCTAAACCAAAAACAACACACGAGCATGCGAATTCCCACCCAATACAACAAGAATAGCACCATATGAATTTCACGATACATCCTAGGGCTCTAATCATATTTTAATCAACAAGAACATAACTCATCTCTTAATATCAAGAAACATTAGGATCTATCAAGAACATCACACAATCATCAAGAATCCCTTATCATCATCAAGATTATCAAGATCACACATAAAATCATATCACCAATTATCAAGATCACATCATCAATATCATAAACGATTCATCAAGACACAAGAATATAGAGGGATGCCTAAGAGGGGGATCATAGCTAAGAAAATAGGTTTTGTTGAGACATGGGTTACCTCTTAGCCTTAATTAATTTCCTTGGCTATGAAGGGTCTTTCTTTAAGCTTTCTTCTTTCTTGATTCCTCCTGAGGGGATTCTTGGAACTTCTTGTGTGGTGGGAGATTATTGTGGTGTGAGATCTAGGTGGCTCCTATGTCCCTATTTATATATATTCCTAAGAGTTCTAATTGGGGTCTAAATACTATGGGCTTGCTAATTCCATTCCTTATAAGACTAAGGACTTGTTTTAGGGATAAGGGTCCATGGTCCATAGTGGACCATATTAATTAATTAAAGAGAATCCTAATCATAATCTGAATGGTAAAAGGCCTACTTCCTTTATTCCTAATAGATAACTAGATCTAGGATTCCTAATTAGAATCTGACTAGTAAAAGGTTAACTTTCTTTATTCCTAATGGGCTTAAAACTCTAGTTTAGGCAAGGGTCTACGATTCATGATGGACCTTACTAATTATAGGGAAACCTAACCATATTGAATCATATTTAATTATTATTAACGGGATTAATTAAATAATTAATCCGGGATTGAAGGCCATAACACGGGGTGTTACACACTCCCCCCCCCCTTACGAGAAGCTTCGTCCCCGAAGCTTAGAAATCCTACAGGGATAACGAGTCAAAAGTAGTACGGTGGTCATATACAGAGAATGCATTCTATGGGGAGACTATATAATTGTATATCTATGTGTCCTGGGTTTTTGGGAACGATTGGGTTAAATGGATTAAGAGTGTGGGTTTCAAGCTTGAGGACAAAGTGAATCTAGGAATTAGGATCAAAGTTTTCAAGGTTTGCAACTTTAGGAGGTGAGGTTGCTACCATTTATGGAATCGTTAAAATAGGGAATTAAGAATGGGGTTTAAAGGGTAGAAAGGGTTTTGCAATAAGGAGGGGCTCGGTTGTCCAAGGGAGGGAAAGGGATTCGGCTAGGATGGGTTAAGGTTTCTCGATTCAAGTGACTATTCTGGTTTGATGCTTTGATCACGACGTATTGATGAACTGATGATCCTTCTCCTTTAGTGTTGGCACTTGCTTTACTTTAAGATCCTTGTCGGACCTTGCTTCCCAAGCTTAAGTTTCGTCCTTCTTTTCTATCTTGAGGGAATCACCCGCGATGATTTAATACTTACTTCTTTAATGCGTCCAAGGTCTTGACCAAGTTTGTTCAACCATGCCAATCTTTTAGGGCGCACTTCCCAAATTCTTCCCAAAGTCTCTTGGGAGTCTATAAACTTTGGGTTGACTTTCTCTTCTTATTGAATTTCATCTCCTCTTTAGTGAATGGAATTCTTAGTAAGACTTCATGTCTTCCCCGAGGTTCGGCTTTTTGTGCCCTTTTGTGTTACTTTTAATGATGAAGGTGCCCTTGCATGCTCCTTTTCTTCTTGAAGTGCAGT